TACATATATATATATATATATATTCAAGCATATAGATTTCAAAAACGCTTCCAAATGATGCGTTTCAAGGAAACGAATAGAGAAATATAAAGGTCTATGCGTATATAGGTATATACACCGCAAACACCATACCGGACGCAGTCAACATTCCATTGAAATAGATCTGATCGTAGGCTGCAAATAGGTCAAACAGATCCGGAAATGGTACCAGCTCTATCTCCGCATCTTGTCGTGGCTTACTGTACACGCTTATTTTTTTAATTCCACTACTCCCGCCCTTTGAAACATCTGCAGCAGTTGACGTAGCATCTTTCTGAGCTCTCCCACTAGCTTGAGATTCGTCCGCATTCGTCGTTGTACCCTCCATCCTTGTTCTATTCCTCGTGCTACTAGTGCTTTTACTTTCTGCCCGTGTATTCGATGTGCTACCGTTTCTTCCACTGCCCACTTTGGTGGTTGTTCGCCACGCCGGGATGGTGTACGACATGATTTCTCCGAGCAGAGACAATATTATACATACAACTTATATATGCGGTCAAAAGGTCAGTTACTGGGATAAGCCATAACCACTTATGTAACCAGGGTCAACCTATGTAAGACAAACAAATGCTCTATTGGATGCAAGTTGTGTATCGATTTGTAAGGGAGAAGTTCTTTTACACCCAGATTCTACCACAAAGAAGCTGAACGACGGTTTGGGAGTACATACTACACAATCATGAATCATGAATCAAGAGTAAATATCTTTGCCACAGAAACTGAAATTTGCAAGAAGCGAACCCGTCACGTACGTAGTATTACTTTTATTTTGTAAATTTAATTATTATTTACATACATACAAAAGAAAACCAGATCGCGCGCAACGCTTCACGGCCAATCAATATTCAACTGAATTTGGCGACTAGTGTGTGCAACGCGGTACATCGCATTTAACTAAGGGTGGACAAGGCATCCTTAGGTCATACGTCTGGGAGGCTTCGTCACGAAGCCATTACAGACAGAAACTTTTGAATAAACAGCGGTGTTGTTTCTACTTATTCCATAAGTTCTCATTGCTACCCATCACCGGGATCCCCCAAGTGAGACGCGTGATTTATCGTAGGATTCGTAGACAAGCGCATATTATTGATTGACCAGCTGAACTATCTGCAACAAGATTGTTCATTAAAGTTTCGGTTTGTTTCTTCCTTATTATAAGAACAAAAATCAGTCGCAGAATAAAACTTGGCATGCTAGTACATTGTATAGACTATTTATGTTATGTAGTCAATATCGCTGCCCTTGAGTGCGCTCACAGTACGAAATACCTTTGTATTGCGTTGATAACACTTCCTGTGCAGTTCCAACTTATAGTAAAGCAACTTCGTGACTCGACTATAGTACAAATTGGCTTTGACTTTATTTTCAATGATACTAGCACCATAGTCCGCACATTGACTAGCACATAAATTACTTCGCGGCTATTGGGAAAATAAAATGGATATAACAGCAAGAACCCTAAAGTACATATTCCGGTTTGGTGGTATCTCACGTTCTGCATGATCCCCAGATACCTTAATCATGGCCGCTGCTGTATCATTATTTGTCCATGCACGATCGACCCAAGAGTCCCCACATTTCTCTAGCATTGCTACATTGTCATTTAATCATGGTTGCACACGTACAGGCAATTCAGTATTCGTATTTTCAACACTCCTTCAAACAAAAACAGTACCATGTCTACCCTCGACATCTGTACCCAGATAGCACTCAACGTACTGAATAAGTCTTGTCCCCTAAACTAGGCACAGGCGGTCCAAATTGCAGTCCGTAATCACGTACTAACGATGAAAATACAGCTGCTCGCCGTCATATGCCAAGGCTTTGGGATAGTTTCTACGTATCCACTCATCCATGGTAACGACACGATTTTGAACAACCAAGCAAAGTACTTCCAGCATTCTCCAGTACTAATACGGATCCTTTTTCATACCCATAGCAAAGGTCTCTCAAGTCGATTCCGTTCATCACCGAGAGCGATTGCTGCTGCCACCTTACACCGTTTCCTTTTACCATTGTTCTTTCTCTATGTACGATGCACTCCCACAATCAACTTCTCTAGCACGACCTACGTTTGTGTTTTTACCCGAATCGATACCAGCGCTACGTCCAACATGTGTGTTGCAAAAGTGCGCAAGTCTACGATAAGGGTTATTTTGCATACAGGCTTCTAATACTATCACCATCAAACAATTCAATAGTGGCTCGGCTGTGAGGTTATCAAGCCCCCTTCATAGTGTTATAGCATAGCCCAGAGTCATTCCCTATGATTTTCACACGTGGTGACTAATTAGAGAGAGTTCCTTTCTTTAGGTACTAGCCTCCCTGTAATAATTCGTTCTACCGTCTTGCGAGGTCTTGAATAGACTTGCACCATCGCTCATTGCCGGTTATGAGACTTCAGTCAGTCTCCTCGTATGTGGCAGCAGTCTCAGAACGAAAATGATTACTCAGTATTCTTAAGATGCACTAGAAAGTTCTGCAAGTGGTATGTCCATATATCATAGCCCTGCAGTCGACATGATAAGTATTCAAGGTGAGGAATCCTGACAATATGTAGGGATTCAAAGTGTGTCCTAAATCACTACAAGTTTCGTTTGAAAGAAAATCGCAAGGGATCCGTTGAGTACACATGCATGCGTCAATACACACACACACACACACACACACACACACACACA